GACCTGAATTCACGCAGTTGTCAGGTGGTATATTTTGCGTTTATGTTAGTATATATTCAGTATATGTGCGCAGTTGGAATTCCTTAATTCACGCAGCTGTCAGATGGTATATTTTGCGTTTATGTTAATATATATTTAGTATATGTGCGCAGCTGGAATTCCTTAATTCACGCAGATGTCAGGTGGTATATATTGCATTTATGTTAGTATATATTCAGTATATGTTGCAATAAAAATATTGTCTTCCATCAAAAAATTATATCTTCCTCTTTTTTTCTTCTTTTATACATAAAAGTATATATATATATATATATAGTTTAAAAACATATTATAACAGCTTACTTAATATAAACCATACATATACACAACAACAAAAAAAAAAATCAATTTATGCTAAATATAAAATGATTTTATACAAAAAATTATGTCTCGAGATAAATTTTGTTTATCATATATCGAAAATATACTGAATATATACCATACATATACAAAAAAAAAATAAAAATCAGTTTATGCTTTGTCTCGCGATAAATTTCTTTATCATATACTGAAAATATACTTAATATAAACCATACATATACACGAAAAAAAATTAAAAAAAAAAATCAATTTATGCTTTGTCAGTAAAATTATATAACATACCAAACGTAAACTATGAATAAATTTTGGAAACAGAAAAAACCATACATCCATTAAGAAACTAATTTGTGCATAAACTAATATAACAAACATAAACTAAGATGTAACCAAACATAAACTAAGATGTACAATAATTGTACATATCCCAGTATATGTATATATACTGTACATATAAACTAAATTCAATGTACAGATTGATATGCGGATTTCAATGTACTGATTGATCTATACACAATCCAAAAATCCTAAAAAAATCGAACCAAAACATTGATTTTCCTACAATTAACCAACCATCTCCAACAGCCGGCGACAAGCCCTTTTGTTCTTCAGTCCGGTTGAAGAAATCTCTCAGTACAGAAATCCCTTCAGATAAATTGCAACACACCAACCATCTCCAACCTTGAGCTAAGTGAAGAAATTTGCTACAAATTGCTTCATTCAAGAACACTAATTCACAAATTAAATTAACAACTTTTTATCAAAATAGTGCATAACAGTACAGAATCAAAAGCCCCCCTTTTGAAGCTATTGAGAAATTGCAATTTTCAACATAAAGTAAATACTTTAAGCAAGAACAAGTTTGACTGGAAAATGAAAAACTATTTCCAGCAACATCAAAAGGAAATTTAGCCCTGCAAAAGTTTAAACCCATTTATATGAAAAACAGGCGATAGTCATCTTGATCTTACACCCAAACAATCCTAAAACTAGCTCCAAATCAATCAAATCAGAGATTTGGACAAGGTAAATACTTCCAACTCTTTCGTTTCTTAATTTTTCCATTGCCTTTTGTTTTCGAGAATTAATCTTCAAGATCCTATGAATCACCAAAAGGAAGCAACTCTGAAGCAAATATATGCTATAGCGCAACAAAATATATAAAAATAAAAAAATAAAATCGGATCGGAAAGTGGGAACGAATCAGTTGGTTAAACATAGAAACAGTATATCATCATGATATTTTATCATCATCTGCAAATCTGGAAAAAAAAATCCAAAGTCAAGTCCAAGTAAAACCCACAACGCGATAAACACGAAACTCAATCAATTGCAATTTTCAACAGGCAATGTTTTTTAATTACTTGACAAAAAACCCTTCCTTTCCGTCGGAAACCGACGTCGTGGACATGGCAGAGGCATTAGCGGAGTTGACGCGAGCCTCATCTTCTTGTTAGGGTGCCCACGCGGTTTGGTGGATCTCGGCGGTGAAGGAGACGAGCGAGTTGCCAAACGTGAAATATCAAAGAGGTTTGTTCGAATAATTAAGGAGAAAATCATTAATTATAATATTCTATAATTTGACATATATTGAAACTCTGGTATATGTACAAATAATTATGGTACAAGTTGTAAGTTTGTAAATAAATATAGATTGAACATATATCTGTAATATAAAGAATAATGTTTTGCATGGAGTGTAAATTCCTCTAAAATATAAATAGACTCACTTTGGTGTGTTCAAAACCTCTAGTCGAGGCCCAACAATGCCTGCGTCAAGATCAAAGCCCATCATTTAGATGGGCATGAGCCCATTAAAGGTACTAAAGGCCCGTATCCCCTCCCCTAATTAAGTGGCTTCTCCGTCAGTTTGGACCCAACTCAGGATAAATGGTCGAGCCCATTGATGCTGGTTAGAAACAAGAACTTCGTTTACAAAACAGCAANTAATAATAATAATAATAATAATAATAATAATAATAATAATAATAATAATAATGTCATACATTGTTTTTAAAAAATGGGACTATTTTGGAGGATCTTGACTAAATTCGAACATTATAGGCCTTTCTTGTTTACAAATATTAGTGTATATCCCGTGCGAGTTCGGAGGAGCTCCTATTTTAAACTTTTTTTAAAACTTTATTTTAAATATAATTGTTTATATTTTTCACATCTAATCACGTTATGGAAATAAAATAAATACAAACAATGAAAAATAAATATTATTAAACACTTCTCTTTACACAATACTTTTTATTTAAAGAATATTATTAAACCTTGCAGTTTTGATTTCTAAAAAAAAAATCAATTATCCAATCAATGATTGTTAATATACAAAAAATAATGAAAAGAATCCAAAATTTAAGTAAAACTATTTTTTTTACACATCAAAATAATCTAATTTTTTTAAGCACTTTCAAATCCAAATATCAATGTTACTTCATAACAATTTATTCAATGATAAACCATTAGTCAATTTTTTTATCAAATTAGAAGAGAAATTCAAATATTATCATATATCATCTGTTTTTCTTTCTTATTTAACTTTTTTATCAAACAATTAATAGAAAATCCTATTCCCGTCATATATTCATTTATTATAAAATCAAATTCAATCTAATTAAAGTAACAATTTAAATTTTTTACAAAATCAAATTCAATGTAATTAAAGTAACAAATTAGACAACATAACATTCGAAATTAGATTAAAAATCTCAACTTACGTCATCCCATCAGAAACCAATAAACTTATCGAAATTTGAAACGTTTGAGGAAAAAAGTAATTGTGCTTTCAAAAAGAATTTTATTTTAACTTAAGAAAAATACAAGAAAAAAATCTACACGGGTGTTTATTAAATGTTTCAAAAACACCCGTATAGAAAAATCAATAAACAAAATCTTTCATTAATTTTTAACATAAGGAAAAAATAAATAATAAATGTTTATCAATAGATTTATAAATAATAAATCTTCAAAAAATTCGAATACTTCTTTTTAGCAGAAAAATGGTTAATATAATTGTTTTTATTGGAAATTTTTATTTTTTTTTAACAAAAATAAATAACCGCAAATTTCCTAAAAAAAATATATAAAAAAACAGATAAAAATGTTTTTTCTAACTATCAAATTGTGCAGTTTTGTTTTGATTGTTCTAAATCAATTTCTTTTGACAATTCTTTTTAACAAAAAATAAAAACACAGTCACATTAATTATAAATTGGTGATACGTGATGTTATTTTTTTTTTGCACATGTACATTAGTTATAAATTGGTGAGACACTAGATAGACGTAGATATATTTATCATATATCATTGCCTAAATTAATGATTTTATTATTTTTAAAAAATATCAAATCTAAGAGTGGAGTCTACTTTATTTATTGGATATTCGTGTTCTATTCAAATTCAAAATTTAAATTGTCGATGTGAATATAATTTGGATAGATTAAAGAAATATCATCTCTTAAATGAAGAAATTTATTTCTTTCAAATACACATAATTTGAACTGTTAGATTTATTAAACACGTGTGTGAACAAATATATTTAAATTTAAACTACCTATGAGGAAGGATTTGGTTAGATTTCAAATTCAATATTTAAAAATTGAAAATATTGAAATTTTACTTCCTATGAAACTCATTAGAATTGTTTTGTTTGGCATTTTTTTAATAAAAAATAACACACGGCTTCAATTACAAAACGATCAATATTTCATTATGATAATGTGATAATACAATTTTACTATATAACAAGCTTACCTATTTACTAAATATTGTAGTAAAAATAAGGATTGATTCATTTTGAACTTTCTATTTATGGTTTTAACAAAACTACACGCCATTTTTATTTGTGCAGTAAAATTTGAAAGATACAAATATTCTACATCATTATCCGACTTTTTTTTGTGCAGTAGTCTATCCCTTTTTTTTTGGGATTATTATTCCATTTTTGTTTCTGCCGATTGTATTTTGAAAAATACTAAGTTTTCACGCTGTTTTGTTTATCCAATTCTTTGTGCAATGTTTTGTCCCATTCTATAAGAGCTTGCTATTTCCTTTTTTTTCCATTAATATTTGAAAGATACAATTTCGCAAAAAATCTGTACAAATTGGTTTGTACTTTTTTCAGCCAATTTCGAAAAATATTTCCTAATACGTCTCATTTAATTTCGATTTATCGGGTTTAGTCACATAACATGTTCGAATTGTTTTTAAAAAAATTGATGGTGCGTATAATAAATGCAATTTGAACATTTGAAAAAACGTTATCGTGTATTTTTCAAAGTGATTTTGTGACGTAAGGCATATTTATTAACTTATTTCATTGTGATTTTTTTGTGCATATCAAAACGTATAAATTCTATCCTATTATATCAAACAAAATTATTTGTGCATATCTTTTTTTATACTTCAAATACCGTTTCCAAGAAACAATACAAATAATATTGTATACAATAAAATATTTAATAATATATAATTAACATTTTATTTTATTTCAATATATCTGTTTTATGTTCTCACCAATCATCTAAGCATCCAAATCTAAATGTTTCATTTAATAATACTAGCGCTGGTACTGCACTAATATTACATGACGGTCTCACTCTTCTTTTTCTTCTCTGGTTCCATATTGATTAGAGATGGGTATGAAAGTTGAGCAGAGGGTGAAAGAGAACTGAGAGTTAATTATATAATTATTATTATTATTTTTTATTTTAAATTATGATTTAAATGATAAAAAGTCACTAAAAATATTCGCCATTGGATTCTTGAAGTATGCAATCCAACGGTCATTTTCACACAGCAAAAACGAGAGCAACAGCCCCACCGGCCAGAGCATAAGTTTTCTGCCACCGTCTCTAGAGTCTGACGCCATAGCCAACACCATAAAGTCCTTTTTTCCGGCGGAGCCTGAGCCGAGCTCCTCCTCAGCCATGGAGTTCCAAATCTTCCAATCTCCTGATTTTATCTCGAGAACCAGCTGCAATCTCGCTAATACACAGGATTTGAGGCTTTCGCTTCAGTCTTTCCAAGATCCTGTCTTGCTCCACCACCACAGCCGCCTCCAGCTCAGCCGCAGCCCCTGGTTTTGCCAGGTGGACAGAGAACCAATTTTTACACAGAGGGGAACCCTTCAGTCAAGTAACTCACCTGCATTTAGTGCTTTGCCTTTGCCTTTGTCTATGTATCAGTGAGGAGCTCGGTAGCTATGCCGATAAGCCATCTTCTGCTTTCTCCAGTTTTCGTCATTGAGTCTGTCATAAAAAAAATCTGAATTTCAGTATATTCTTCAATTTACAGGTATCTTTTACTTTAGTTTCTTTGACGTTTGGACTCACATTTTTCACGGGCTTACAATGTTTTTTCTTTATTTTAAAGCAGGGGAAAATCAAGAAGCGGCGAAAGTTTGAGTCTTTAAATCGATGGCGGGAAGAATCTTGAAATTTAAACTTCAGGTGTTATATTTCGATTTTCCGTTTTGCTGCTATATCAATATGATATGTTATGTTTCGTTGTTTCATTGTGTCCAGGCCTTTATGTGTGGTGTTTTCCATCATTGTTAAACGAACAAATTGTTGCTCAACTTTGTTTTTACAAAGCCCATTTGAATTGCTTATTCGTGTTCGGCATATGCTTGTTCCCTATAGTTATGCTGCTATTATTATGATCAATTAACAAAGTCATCATAATTCATCACTTTCACTTGAGTTCTGGATTGATATTTGATAGAAATCTTGATATGAGGAAAAACTTTGTGTTTGAGGATATAAATTTCGGTAGATTCATTTAATGTGTTGACAGCTGATTAATTTGCAGCTGGCTTGCCTGAAAAACCATAATAGCAATTCGTGTAAGCCGTATAGGAATTCAGAACTCCTATGCCTTTATTGACGGCAAAATGCTCTAAATCCACTTAAGCTACGTGTGTCGAAAAACTGAGACACAGGTTTGCAATAAACGGTAGATTCTTTAGTGTACAATTGTACGTAGATCTTTGAGTAGTTTAGTCGTGCCATTTTGTTAAGTTGAGATCCTACGGTAGAAGATTGTTAATGGAAAATATGATGAGTTTAGCCAATTCATCAAGAATCCATCAGTTAGAAAATATTGATATGGCATTACATTCTAAGGGAGAAAACAAAAAGGGAAAGGTAAACGTAAAACAGATGTTCTTTCACTGGGGTTTTTTTTATCGTTCGATCAGACAGTAACACACAACCACATGGGTGTGTTTTGATCCANAAAAAAAAAAAAAAAAACCGGTAGTGACCTTACCGAAAGGCATGAATTTTCCGAACACCTCCTAAATGTTGTACTACGACATCAAATCTGGTGGTTGGTAGTTCTTTATTGCTAGTCAGTACTACTGAAAATGGCAGGGATTACAGTTATCAACTCATTTTTTATGATTGAATATAGGAGCTTGCAATATTATTATACCGGTAGCACCTTTAAGGTGTGTTTATCTACCAAATACTCCTCTTTAAAATGCAATTTTTTTAAGCTGAAAACCACGGTTCTCGGTTTTTGGTTCGGGTCAGCTGGCCCGATTTTCGGACAAGCTTGAGCTCATGCTCTNATTACTATGGACATGATTGGATATGAGTTATAACTGGTTTTAACCACCATTGAGTTATTTCATATTCAATCATTTAATTCAAAATCCAACTCAGCTCAAGTTTCTTACTTTTTATAGACGTAATTAAATAATATCAATCAATCATTCTCACACATCACATCAATTTTAATCACTACATTTTAAATATTATTTAAGTTCAAACTCAAAATCATGAACTCAATCTACTCTATTCAAAATAACTCACTTTAAGTAGACAAAACCAGTCAAAACTAGTTGGATTCAATCCAATCACGCCCCCTGACAAAATCCTTTATTTGATAAATCTCGGATCAACACATACTTATTTTGGTGCATCTGAGTGTGATCAGACAGTCAAAATTTCCGTGGGGTAGTGTCCATGGAAAGGATCGAACTTGCCAATTAAATTTGGACCAACTTTTTATATATATTCTTTCAAACGACAATATATTATAAAGTTCGAGAAATATTTACAAGCGAGCTATCAACTGACATCACTAGCTAACCATATCCCATCCCTCTCATTCCTGAAATAATTCCTATCCTAAAACTGACAAGTTGGAATGAACTTGGGACCTTTTGAGAGCCAACCAAGGAGAGTCCAAGGTTTCAATGAACAACTCATTCCAACCTAATGCCTAACACCAAGTTCAGAGTTTCTCATAGTTAGCCAATACTTCCATAAGACTGTACATAAAATTTATTACCCCTTTAATGGATTACACGATCTTACATTAAACATAATAGATATTTTTATTTCCAATATCGTTTTTTGAAAATGAGCGTTTAAATGCCCTTCAAAAATAAGCTCGAGCTTGAGACTAGCTTGAACTTGAGTTGTGTTCGAGCCTTAACGAGTCGAATTATGTTAAAAGTTCGTTAAGTTACATAAAAATTTATATTTGACGAGCCCAGCGAGTCGAGTCAAGCTCTATTTATTATAGCTCGAGCCTTGACAAATATAAAGTGCACAGAAAAATGAATATAAAATCAACCCAAACACAATTTCCAA